AAAGTATCATATAACAATATCATATTTGAAATTGAAAAAAAAAATATATCAAACAATTAACCAAGCTTCGTTTCAATTCAGTTTTGTGATTTCGAACAAGATATATTGAGATAATTCCAAGTGATCATATCTTTTAAATATTTTTATAAGGGACTAGGGTCATTATACAAACTAAAACTCAACCAAAACCCAAGTTATATCCAAACTATCTATAAGGATTTTTATAATTGCATTTTAATTGCAGTGTCCTAGAATTTTGGTGGGCAACTCCCTTTTTCACAAGGGATAAATTGCCTTTGGAGGTCCCTGCTAGTCTAGACTCAACCGCTCTCTCTGTTTTCCCCTCTCGCCCCTTTCTCTTTTTCCCCGCGCTTTGCATGTCCCGCTGCTTTCTTCTTTTGTTATTTATTTACTACTTTTTTTTTTGGCAATGCCAATCGCAAAAAATTTATTTAGGTCAATTATAAATATTAAACGCAATTAGCAATGAAATTTTCAATTTCATTATCACCGACGTCGGCGTCGCTGCCGACGTTGTCACGAAAGAAAAAGAAAAATATAAAAAACCCGAATAAAATTCGTTGACAATGTCGACTGATAAGAAGAGTAGTATGAGAAGTGGTATATTGGTTGGGGTTTCATTTGACCCGATGTCTTCGTCATCAGAGCGCTGTTTTCGCAATGTCAAGACTGTGGTGACCTTATTTTTCGACAAAAAAGTACATATACAATGGAATATTGCTCATTTTTAGAGCGATTGATCTATAAATATTACCAGCTGGATTAATACATGTTTCTAATTTGAGATAGAGTAAAGAACAAAATGAAATTAAATGTTTTTAAGGTCTAAATGCAACAGTTTTTAACCTTGTAGTTTTTTATAAGAAACAGGAAACATAATTATAGAAGAAATTCTCCCTCGTGAAGTTGACCAAATAGATGGCAAAACCGCAGCGGAAATTTAAATTTCCCGGGTAAATAGAAGACCATCTTTCAGTTTGCTTATTCGATTCCGTGCAATTGTGTTATTCGAAAAGTCCTTGACAAATGCCAAACGATGACCAGCCCCACGAAGCCCCTAGAAAACACCCACAATTACCCCCACTCCTCCGCACCCAAAAAAAAAAAAAAAAACTGCAATGAACCCCAACCCCAACCTACACCCCCTCGGATTCTCGCGCTCTTTCAACACGTTCGCCGATGTTTGTCTTTGACTCGAAATGACCTTAAACTGGGTTAAAGCTCGCCAAAGTTACCTCAAGAGGGGCGGAGGGGGGAGGATGGGGAGGGGGGGGGCTGTTCGGGCTGTAAATTGAACTTTCTGTGCAACAGAGCATAGCCAGCAGGGATAGAAAGAGAGGGCAGCACATATCATAGAGAGAGAGCGGAAGAGAGAGAAGCCGTTTGTTTGCCCAAATGCAACTCATGAATCATTCACACGCAACTATGAATATGCAAAAGTGAACCGCTTTGAATGCACAATGAATATGAATAGGTGCACACCTAAACAGAATGGAAGTGCAGTCAAAATTGTGCTTTTGAAAAATGTCACAATGTTTTATTTAATTTGTAATGTCAACTAAACAATTAAATAAATTATAATAAATAATACAACAAAATTGTACACTATGTTTTAAATTAAATATTTATACAAGAGAACCCCTATTGTGTGTGATATATATATTTAAGCTGCAGAAAATAATTGAATGCTTAATAAAAATTAAAACAAGAAAGGAAGCTAGCTTCGGCCAGCCGAAGCTTATATACCCTTGCAGATCATTCCTATTAATTAACAAATCGCAAAAATGTTCAATTTTCTAATATTTCTCATTAATTTTCCGATCGTTCCTATGGCAGCTATATGATATAGTCGTCCGATTTTGATTAAATTAAAATTGAAATTCGGAAATATTTAAAAAGAGTCATATCCTAGAGTAGAAGATAATACAATAAAAACCAAAGAAGCTAGAATTTATTTCCTATTACTTTTCCATTAATTTTCCGATCGTTCCTATGGCAGCTATATGATATAGTAGTCCGATTTTTTAAATAATTAATTCGAAATTCAAATATATTTAAAAAATAACATCCCCAAAAGTAGAAGGTGATATTTCAAAAAACACCAAAGCTAGAATTTTTTAAAGTTTTTTTTTTCCGATTGTTCCTATGGGAGCTATAAGATATAGTTGTCCGATCCGGTCGGCTCCGACATATATACTACCTGCAATAGAAAGAAGACTTTTGGGAAAGTTTCATCCCGATAGCTCAAAAACTGAGAGACTAGTTTGCGTAGAAACAGACAGACGGACAGACGGACAGACGGACAGACGGACAGACGGACAGACGGACGGACAGACGGACAGACGGACAGACGGACAGACGGACAGACGGACATGGCTAGATCGACTCGTCTTGTGATGCTGATCAAGAATATATATACTTTATGTGGTCGGAAACGTCTCCTTCACTGCGTTGCAAACTTCTGACTGAAATCATAATACCCTCTGCAAGGGTATAAAAATTAAATATAAAAGGGAAACCTTTTTCTACGTCAAGTGCTATTTTTGTAGCCTGTAGAAACCCTTGAAAAGGTCGAAGGCCCCCATCAAAATGTAACTTTTGAACAAAACCACTAACCAATAGTTTTTATTTATTTACATTCGCATAAATACAGTTAGCAGCTGGCAGCTCTTCTAATTACCTTGCATGTAATTCATTTTCTATTTGCCAAGAGAAAGTAAAAACAAAAAAAAACACTTACTCATGCTCATCACTCAGACACACACACACACACACGCGAGTCAATACATTTTATTGCCCATCAAAAAATCAAAAAAAAAAGTTTAGCGCTTCGTTTTCTATTGTTGTTTCAACCCTCTCTCTCTATTAACCCACACCCCCTCCCCTTTCTCTTTTTCACCAATTTTTTTTTTGATGTAGGCGTTAAGTCAGCGGCGCAGTGGAAAATAGAGAATCGAGAGATGACTTTTAAGCTGAGCTTGAGTGGCAAATAAGCATAAATAGAAGAGATACTCGGAGCAGAACGTTTGAGAGAGCGAACAAAAGGTGAATGACTTTAGGTAAAAAAAAAAAAGTTGCGCAGTCAGCTCGTTTTCCATCTCTTTTTATCCCCCCCTTTTAGCTCCCCTTCTGATTTTCCCCCCTTTTCCAACTATTTCGATAACGAAAATGCAAGGCACTAGTTCGTTTTGGTTCGCTTTTTTATAGTTTTCATGCACAGTGCGCACTGCTTACGTTGAACGAGAAAAATTATTAGTTTCAAATTGTGAAAAACTAAATAACCTAATATTTATTTGAAAATATAAACGAAAAAATTCCTTTTATAAGGAAAAGAATGTTGAAGTCGAACCCTAACATTTGTCCCCGAGATGTAGGCTACGTTTCTAGAATAAACTGAATGTTGCCTATTTATAGGGACAAAAGAAATATTAAGTGGATTTGAGCTTGAGCCTATCCTACAAAATTGTACAGTTCTCATACTCTTTTAGAAACTAGCCAAATCTACATCATTCTACACAATATATTCATATATTCACTTCATATCAATTTTAACATAACAAAATGGTACGATTTCATATCAATATGGTACAAAATCATTTGTTCGGAAATATCATTTTGATATGAACAGAGAACAGACCAATATTGATATGAAAAAATACCCGATGGATGACTATTTTTGGTCTTTTTTTTCTCCGCGTATAAAATTGAAATAAATTAATATTAAAAAAATATAAATGATTAAAAACCACTGTATGCAGAGACCACTGTACTTTGGGGCTGCCCGAAATACAGTGAAACTTTGAGCATGCAGAACCAGGAGAGCGAGCTTTTGGCCGCTCTCCAGCTTTTGGCGCTCGCAGTCGAGAGCAGAGAGAGAGCAGCGGAGAGGCAACTTCGGCAAACGGCAATGACAGTGTAGCTGTGCCTCGTACTTTACATTCTGCCGCTGCCTTAGTAGGTCAACAAAATTCCGGACAATGGCCTTTCGCTTTCGTCGGCGACTGCGACGCCGGCAGCGCTGCAGCTGGCGGAGCTTCGAAATGTAAATAGAAGCTAAGGCAAAGGCAAACGCAAGCCGATGGCGCCCACCCAACTACACCACCCCCTTTCCGCCCAACCACCCCACACTATCCCCCCAACCCCCTTTTCAATATGGCGACGGCGACGCGACGATGAACATGAAGATATTTCAGTCGCCGCCGTCGTTGCATTTGTTTTTGTTTTTCTTTCTGTTTCTGTTGCTTTTGCTGTTGTTGTTTTCGATGGCGTAATAGGCGCATGCAGATGTATTAATGGGCATATACATAGTCGAAATTCCCCAACTGGAACTTTCCCAAGTCCAAGTAACTTGAGACACCAAACATAATAAATATTAAATGATATATTTTAAGCATTAGTGCTCAAGAACGACTGTCTGTTATAAAACAATTTGAAGCAACAAATTAACAATGGCAATATTTTCATATTTATTATAATTTTTTTATTACGCATTAATTAATATTAAGTAATGCACCAAGAAATGATCACTCAATAAATAATGATTCTCTCTCGGCTGAAAATATACCTCGAAATGGCAATATTACTTTACCAATATTTTCGAATAATCCTTCAAAAAATAATTTATTCGACTTTAAGTGATATTTTGAGCGAACCACCCTTAGTTAAATACCATTATCCCTCCCTGTTAATAGATTTCAAAATATCTTTCATGAATTATAGATTTTTATTGCAGTCTTTTAATTTTAATTTTAGTTTTAAATTTGTAACCTTGTGACTCTATGAAATATCACATAGAAATAACAATTCATCGGTTGAATATTCAAAAACCACAGTTGTTACCCTATCTGATGTTACCAAATCAAGACGTAGTCCAGTACTAAATTAAGTAGGCTATTTTTAAGTATTTTTTAACTACCAAATTAGGGTCAGGCTAAAAAAACTTTCTTAGTCATGACTTTTGAGTCTCTACTTCATTTGGGATCGAAAACCAAAGGCGTTTAGACATCTCTCCTCGGGGAAAATAAAATCAAAAATCGAAAAAGTTGAAAAAGTTAAAAAGTGAACCAAATAAGGAAAATAATTCGAATCGCAGAGCGGAAAACCATCAGGTATGTGTGTGTTCCTACATACGTACGTATGTATGTAGGTGTATGTAGGTTAAAGGCCAGCGTTCGTTGCACTCGCAGACTGAAGGACAGCAGCCCCTGGTGGGTGGTGCAGTGGGCGGTTCCGCCGGGTTTGGGGTGGCCTTACATAAAAGTTCAGTGGGAACAGGAAGCGAGAAGGGGAAGGGGAGCAGAACGATGTGAAGTGACGTCGCCACCCCAGCGAAGTCACGGACTTTGGAGTGTGCTTCAAGGGGCGGCGACAGGGAGCAGAGGCACCACCCACTGCACCCACTGCACCCATTGCAACACCCCCTCGGCGTCTCGCCTCCTGGCATTGCATATTTATGAGGCTACACAGAAAATCGCGTTCGCAAAGAAAATGTGATTTAGGGTTGCTGACTTGATGGCAACCCTGAAAAAACTAAAAACTTAAATATAAATATTAAACAGAACAGGTTTATTTAACCTTTAAAACAATTATTTAAATTAATTTTAAGAATTTAAAACTATTTTCCACTTAAATCTTTTAGCAAATAGCCCATTTGACAATTGAGAAAAAGTAAATCAGGGTTGCTCAAAAAAGTGCAAATAATTTTCACAGACTTGGTGGCAATACCTTAGCTGTCATTTTAATTCTCGGCAAGCCGGTAATTTTTCTCTTCTTAAAATTTTTCGAATGCAATCAAAGTAAATAAATTTTAAAGAATCTCCAAAAACTGCATTTCTAAAGTAAGACTCTTAATTTTCAGCTAAAAACCAGACCAAATTTCACCAGAATTTTCGGCCCGGTGCATTGAATTGCAATTTCCCCGTGTGAAACGAAGGTTGTTGGCACAGATACGCCAGGAGATTTTTTTCTAGCTTACTTCTTCCTACGGTTTCGGTGCTCAAGGAGGACACAATCATGTCGGTGCGCGTGGATGCAGCTTGCCAGGGCGTTACAAATGTGGACAACGAGGACTTCGGAGGAGCCGCCGGCGATGTGGCCAGGCGTGCGCTGGAGCAGGAGGAATGGCTGGGCAGGGTGGAGCAGTCGCCGGATCAGCTGCCCCGTCGCTCCAGCTCCGAGCGTCGCCTGCGCAGCCCGAGCACCGCAAATGTGAAGAAGAGGCGTGGTACTGGTCCTTCGAGCCGGATTCGTCGCTTGAACCACACTGCCCTGCCCTCCATGACGCAGTTCTTCCGCCAGGTGGCGGTGACTGACACGTTGTCCGCCAGCAAGAATATGCTGCTCCTTTACTTGTGCCTCGTCCTGATGCCCAGCATGATGGAGCTGGGGCCACGCATCGATTTCCCCGATTACTGGGAGCAGACGGCTATATTCTGCTTCCTCAAGCGCCGTCGCCTTCAGCTGACCTTGACGGGCAACCTCATACGCGTTCTGATTCGCTCCCTGATCGTAGCGATTATACCGCTCATCGGAATGAGGAACATGGAGCACCCCAACCTGCTGCAGCTGCGTATGCCCCAATTCGAGGGTCCGGACCTCGAGATGCCCGTCAGCCTGAACATCTACGCCTTCACCCTGCTGCCCTACGTGCTGCGCCTGAAGGCGGGCTTCTGCCTCTACGTGGCCGACACCTGGGTGGCCTACAGCGACCAGGTGCTGACCATAGCCGACACCTTCAACACCTGGCGCATGCTCGTCTATCTCAACCAGGTGATGCAGCTGGTCTACTCGTTTGAGATGATGATCCTCTTCGTCCAGGGATTCTTGGGCCTGGTTCATGCCTATCGCGTCTACAAGGCGCTCGCCGGTTTTAACAGCTTCCATGTGCCGGCCTTCGATGCGGTGGGTTGAGTTTTATCTTATGGTTGATTTTTATATAAAATCTATTTTTATCCCCCAGCTGACCTTAAAGGATACTTTCTGGTTTAGACCCTCTAGGCACACCATCGCTGCGTACAAGGCTTCCAGGGAGCGTTCCCTGGAATACTTCTACAATCCGCTGGAGGATCAGGAGGAGCAGGAGGATCAGAGCAACTAAGATCTTGAGAACCAGGCCCCAAGATACAGTTTCGCCAGCTGACCAAAAACACTTAACCAATTCGGGTGAGTCGTAATATTAATTTTTGTATCTTGAAAGCCAAGCATCCTAAAGCTAAACTACACAAAGAGAATTTTTCATGAACGGTGCACTTAAATTGAGATTTTTCTACTCAAAATAAAACCAAGTACTCACTTTCAGTACCAATTTTTTAAATAAAATACCTTGGAATTGAGTATTTTTAGAGATTTTTTTCTCAAAGAACGGGTTCAAATAAGAGAGAAACAAAAATAGACTTCTTTTTTCAAAATTTGTCCACAAAATCAGTATTTCCTCAAATTGAGAATACAAATACTTAATTTGAGAACGTCAGTCTTCTTGAAAAATGTTCTCTGTGTAAACACTCAACTTGAACTTTATTTGTGGCAAATGATTTGAATCGGGGCAAAAAGCTTTCATATATAAAACACTCACCTTCCGTTAGTACTGCTCTTTGAATTACTAGTCTTCAAACGGTCCTTAGTTCGAACCGTGGGTTTTATGCTCGATCTATATAGTCTATCTATAATCGATGGTTTAATAAAGTTTATATCAAAGCTGTCAATTTTCTCATTGACAGGTTGACTTTGCAAAAGCACAAAATGTTGGTGGCTGCAACGAGAGAGAGAGAGAGACAAGTTTTTGATTATTTAATTTGTAATTTTAAATATTTTATTTATAATATTTAGGATTTCTCTGGTTGCTGTCTCGACTTTGCCTGCAGCCAATACCCCAACCCACAGCGCCCTCTGTGTGTGACGAGCACTGCACAGATGGCGCCAGCTAATAGTTTAGTTTCTGCGCTAGATGGCGCCTTTGCTTTGTTTTGATGCCTCTCTTTCGAGATTCTAAAGTCTCTTTAAAATCTCTTAGTTTGCTTTGCTCTCTCTACTAAGAGAGAACTCTCTTAGGCGTTTCTCTTCGCTTGGAGCATTTTGTTGTTGCGTTGTTTGTGTGTCAATCGGTTTCATTAACCCCAAACGATATACGTCTGTGTGTGCAGATATACATACATACATGTGTGTGCAGCGGCAGCGCTGCGGCAGCGAAAGGTCAACAAAGTACGTTTCATGGACACACATGCATTTGCGGCCTCCTCTTTTTTACTACTTTTCCGTTTCGATGCATTTGTTGTGATTTGTTTTTTATTTTTATTTTTATGCCCCTTTAATGGCTTTGAATATTAAATATTTTCTTAAATTTAGGGTATGCCTAAACTGATATTTTTCCAAAGAATATTAGTATTTAAATATGCACTAAAAAAATGGCAACTTTAATTTAAGCTTACAGAAAAATATCCCTCAATTTCTGATTTTAGTATTATTTTTTATTTTATATTTTGGTTATTTTATAGTTGGAATTTTGCTTCTGTTTACTTTTCCCTAGACTAGGTATGTCCCTCATTGTTATTGTTACAACGCCCACTTTTACAATCTCAGCACCTGCTTTCTCCTCCTCGCCACAAACTCGGGTCATTGCTTGGAATTCTATCCCTCCGTCATTATTTCTTAGTACAGTGCACTCCTGATATATTCAACTATAATATGTAACTATATACCTATATATAAATAGAAAAAAAGTCCTAATATGTTGCACTCCTGATAATATGTAACTATATAACTTTATAATAATAGAAAAAAAAAGTCCTAATATGTTGAGATAATTTCCAATTTAATGTTGACTTAATTTGCCTATTAGAGATTTTTATGGGTTCACCATATCGAACATGTTGCAAGTTGCAACTGCAAAAATGCGGAAGAATATGTAACGCAATGCAGAGGGGCCAGGCATCACCAGTGAAAACGAAGAAAAGGAAAAATAAATAGAAAAAAGAAGCAGAGTCGGTTGCAAAACGAAAACATTATGGATTGCAAAGTCTGGTGATCGCAGACAGCTAGAAAAATATTAGAAAAGTAGAAAAGGGGGGTCATCATAAACTTGTAGAACCTCTTGATCTTTTATAACCAAAATATTAATTGTTCTATGAGGAAGTTACATCTTTGGATATATCAAGAAAAATTTAAAAAGTGATCCTTAAATCTAATTTAGGTGTAGATACAGTGACGCAAGTCTAAACTATAAAAGTCCCCATTACCAGGAATAACTACATCGATTTCTAACCTACAATAGTTGGACGATTAAGCCATTAATTGGATAACAATAAGTGGTTGTAATACCCAAAGGACCTTTAATGTGACTGGGTTTTTCCCCATTGCGAAACCTGTTTCCAGGCTAGCCAATCCAATCGAACCCCATCCCCCCGAGGCAAGTGCAACAACAGTTGGCCGAGGGCAGGTTCATCCTGTGGGATGTATTCCTCCCTCCTGCTACAAAAAAAAAAGAAATAAAATAAGTCCCCTCCCTGAAAACTAGACGGAGAGCACACAGGCAAAGCACTAAAGGCAAAGGCAAAGGCAGCCGGGCGCATGCAAATAAAAATAGATTTTTCTCGGTATATAGGATAACGACCACCAACGACCCCAAAGTTGGAACGCCAACGTTCTCGGGCAACGACCGGCAAAAAACAAACGCAAACGCATCCAAAGTTTGCCTACCCCCAGAAGCAGAAGCAGCTGAAGTTGGCTCCCCATCGCTGTCCCTGTCCCACTCGCTCCGTGCTTCCCTATAGCCCTCTCGCTCGCGCTCTCGCTCTCGCTGCTTCTGCTTCTCGCTAGGGTGGACCACTTGCCACTTGAGCGTGGTCCTTTAGACAATATCAGTTTAAATACATATTTATAAAAATATCTATAAAAAGAACATTTCTACCTATTTTATAAATATCATCTTTTATTTATTTTAGTTTACATTTTGTAAGCTCACCTTAGTTCTGAATCATGGAGCCTAAATTAGTAGCAAGGACCACCCTAATGCTCACCTTCCCTTCTTTCCTTCCGTGTGTTTGTCAAAGAGCGAGAGAGTTCTCTCTTTGGGTCCTACACTCGCACACGCACACACACACTCGCTCACAGGCACGTAATACTTCGTAGGGGTTGCTGACCTCTTCTCAGGGTCGCCGAAGGTTGTTGAACTCGCCAGAGCGCGCAGTCTGTCTCGCTCGCTCCCGTTCGTGACCGGCCCTTGTCTGTTGACGAGGGTCGCCGTGCTCCCTATATCGCTCCCCCTCCCCTCCCCTCCCCTCCCCTCCCCTCTCTCTCCCCTCTCCTCCCCCTTTCTCGCTCCTTTTTGCGGCCTGAAATGTGTGCTGGTCGTTGGCCTTTCCTTCCTCGTTCTCGTTCTCGTTTCGCCCCCTCTCTGTCGCTCCTTCGTGACGTAATGTGGCAACAGGGCATTCCCGACTGCCGCTCTTCTTCCTCTTCCTTTGGCACCTAACCCCCACCCCCTAAAGAGCACCATGCTCCTCCATTGTTGCCGCTGCTTTTTGTATTCCCATTTATTCAGCGAGTTTTTTTTTTATTATTTTTTTTTTTTTATTTAGGGGAAGCGAAATGTAGGGCTGATGCCGCCGATGCACTCTGTGTGTGTGTGTTGGTGCATAGTTCAACATTGTCTGAGGTTAGGGTTGAATGCTCGACGGATCGCCGGGCACTACCGCTTTGCTCCGCTCTTTTCTGGTCCCGAGCCAATGCAAACTAACTATTAGGGAACCCAGCGCCGGCGTTAATTGCAATCTGCAGTTTGCGACACGTTCTAAAGTGCAGTTATCGAGTTATCCGCGTTTATTGCCGTTTATCACCACATATATTTTATGACCAAAAGATATTTCTTACTTTGAAAAAGCTGATATAAGATGATTAGAGTCGTAAATGCATCGAGCATAATTATTTTTAACAGTTTCTATTTTATAGATTCCTTTTGATTAGAAATTTAGGGAATATACCTTTAGTTTACTAATTTAAAAGTAATGATAACATTTAATTCAATTTTAGGGGGCTATAAAACTGGGATCTAAAGCATTTCAATTAATATTGTTTTTCCACATGTTATACAAGTAATTTCTATTTAAATAGTGTATATAATGAATTTACGAATTAATGTTGGTGGATTCCTGTGCATTCAATACGATTCCCAAATGTTTTGGAAATGTTATGTGCTTGAATTGAGAATCGAGAATCGATAATCGGTCAATTTGGTTGTGGGTGCGTAATCTTTCGATTTCGACACTAGGCAACAGTGGTAACTTTCGGTATCTGATTCTTCTAGGCCTTTAATACTCCTTTCCCATGCCCACACCCCCACCCCCACTTCGCTCCACCCCTTCTCTTTTTCAGCTCCTTCCTGCCATTTTCTTCACTTTTTGCTGTCGCCTGGTTTATCAGTCGGATGATTGGCGCGTGGTTAGCTTTTATCGGTCATTCGCCTCCTCCGCCGAGTGTGAAAGAGGGAAGGGGAGAGAATGGCGGAATGGGGGAGAGGGAGGAAGATAGCCGAGTGGGGGAGTGGGAGTGGGAGAATCTAGGAGAGTGCGTAGTGGTCAGCAATGCGTCACAATCAATCACACGCAGAGCAAGAGCGGTGGAGAGAAAGATGGAGAGAGAGAGGGAGATGGAGAGGGAGAGAAAGCAGGGAGAATAAGAAGGAAAAAGCCATGACCGTGAAGTTTAACGCCCTCCGGGCAATGTTAACGTCGACGTCGCAGCTGGCAGCTCTGCCCACAGTCCACAATTCACCACAATCCACATTTCACAATCTGCAAGATACGTTCCATGTCCAACTGGAGTTCCACACTCGCGGAAAATGCAAACCAAACTAGTTAATGGCTCCCACCGCTTTTCGGAATTTCACTTTTTTGAAATTTAATTATTTTTCAAATTTCCATAAATTTTAATTTAATTTAATTTATTTATTTAATATCCCAGCGCTACAAGTGCACACTTATAATTATTGCTCTAGTCACATTGAGTTGCTATTTTTATTTTTTATGTAGAATCGATTGCAAAATTAATTTCATAACTTTATAAGCCTTTTGCCTTAGCCTTTTCCATCAAACTACTAAACGAAGTTTCCTTAGTTTGTGTTTTTAAAGAGATTTCTGAAGGTATGTGAATAGTTTAAAGCAAAG